AAATTTTTACTAAATATATTAAATATTTTATCGAAATTTTTTATTTAATCATTTAAATGATTTAATCAACATATGTATTTAATTCTATATTTATATTATTTCTTTTATTTAATTTTATTCTAAATTTTACCAGATCTTTTACGATTTTTGCATTCTTAGGGCTGCTTTTCATTCTTTTCTATACGATTTTTTTGCCCTTTTTTTATAAAATAAAAATTGTTTTTCAATTTAAATTTTATTTATTTTTAAACACACGCCTAAAATTCTTTTCACTTTAATTATGCCGAATTTCCGACATACAAAATTTGATTTATCGTAGATTTATGTACATTTATTTATATTTATGTTTATTTAAAAAATTTTTTGTATAAGCTTCAAAGGCGCCCAAAATTCTTATTTTAACGTAGCATAAATGCACTTATATTTTTCTCCTAATTCAATACTATTTTTCACTCCAAAATTTTAAAAATTAGGGATTGATTAGCATTGTGTCTAGAAAATTAGAAAGTCGGCCCTCAGGGCCCGTAGAATAAATTCGGGGTAACATAACCGGTTAAATAACCGAGTAAAATAACCCTGGGTTAAATAACCCTGAGTTCCGAGTAAAAGTGGTTTTCATTTTTTGAATATAAAATTTTCTTTCAAAATTTTAAAAACTTAATATATTTTGGAAAAAAAGCAATCGAGACGCGTTTAACCCTGTTACACTGCCCCCGACCGGTGTAGCAATTTTACCCTTAGCTGAGGGTTATTTGACCCGAGTAAATAATTTATTCTACCAATGTGAAAAGCTACTCGGGGTTTTGGGTTAAACTACCGGGTTGTTTAACCCTGAACTCAGATTATAAATTTATGCTGCGGGTTGCGAGTTGTTTGACCCTCGGGTAGGGGTTAAATAACCCTTACCCTAATTTATTCTACGGGCCCAGAGGAATGAAGGTATTTCTTTTGGTTTTTATTGTTTTTTGAGATAGATCAAACTTTAGTTTTAATTTTTTAATAAAATAAAGCGGTTGGTCACGTTTACCATTGCCAAATCAAAAAATTCACTCCGACGCCCTAAATCCACGCGCCTAAAATGTTAGAGAAAATTTATCGTTCTCTTCGTTTAGAGCCCAATTTTTCAGAGCCCAAATTTCCGAGTATCTTCAGAGCCGCGTACAAAAATCTTAGATTTTAGAAAGACACTAAGCCTAAATTTTCCATTTCTTTCGATTCTTATGGGGGCATATTTAGCCTTGGTCCTCTGTGAAGTCCTTTTTTGGAACTGAAAATGAAAATATAAGTATTTTTATCCAATTTTGTCTCTTCTATATGCCATTAATTAACATACATATTAGCAGTGATGTCAAAGTTCCAAAATTTCTCTGGAACTAGTTCCAGTTCCAGAACTAGGTTTTTAATTTTTGTAGTTCCAGTTCCAGTTCCGGAACCAGGTTTTTAATTTTCGTAGTTCCAGTTCCAGTTCCGGAACTCCATTTTTGAAATTCCCTAGTTCCAGTTCCAGTTCTGGAACTAGTTCCAAGCTAGTTCTAGTTCCAAATTTTTAAATTTTTTTTGAATATGAAAATATGGCTGTAGTATACAGGGTGACAAGAAAGTAACTGCAAAAAGTTAAAAAAAGTAACCTGATATACATACAACTTACAACTCTTGAGCCTTGATATCACTCTTTATCTTTTTTCAAATCCCTCCTTATCCACCCAAATCTCTGTTCCCTCTTATTATCCTCCTTATCCATGATGTGGACCATGCAGTCTGGTAAGATACCGAGATTAGGAAATATGTAAAAAGATAATGCTATCGTGGGATTACGTAGGGTTTGGAGGTATCTCTCAAAATCTTTAGATCTCCCCATAATTATTCCATTTTCAGCGACGCAGGCAAAAATTTGAAGAATTTTTGAAGACCAGAAGCCAAATTTCTTCAATTTTCTGCGCCGCAGACAAAAATTTTGAGAATTTCGGAAGGCCAAGAAGCCGGAAGTCTTCCATTTTCAGCGCCGCAGGCGAAAAATTTGTGAATTTGCGAAGACCAAGCCACCATATTTCTTCTTTTTTTGGCGCCGCAGGCGAAAATTTGAAGAATTTTTGAAGTCCAAGTCACCAGATTTCTTCCTTTTTTAGCGCCGCAGGCGAAAATTTTGAGAATTTTGGAAGGCCAATTCACCAGATTTCTTCCTTTTTTAGCGCCGCAGGCGAAAATTTTTAGAATTTTTGAGCTCAAGTGGCCAGATTTCTTCCATACTCAGCGCGCTGCAGGTAATTTTCGAGGAAATTTTGCCAAAAATATACCCCCAAGAACTAGTTCCAGAACTAGTTCCAAAGCTAGTTCCAGACATTTACTAGTTCCGTAGTTCCAGTTCCAAGCTAGTTCCAGACATTTACTAGTTCCGTAGTTCTAGTTCCAAACTAGTTCCAGATAATCGTTAGTTCCGTAGTTCTAGTTCCGGAACTGGAACTAGAACTAATTAGTTCCGGAACTGGAACTGGAACTTTGACATCACTGCATATTAGATATTTTCGAGAAATATTTCAAAAAATATTTCTAAGAATATTTAATGTTAATGTTATGTTTTTTTAACATTTAACAATATGTATGTTCAAAATATTTTTAAGCATTATTATAAAAATACACTTTGAAAAACTTAACAAAGTAGGTAAATAAATTTTAAGCTAAGATTTTTATTATCAAAATAAAAATTAAACAAGGTAAATAAACAAACAAATAATGCTAAAAAAATTTTTTTTTAATAATTTTTATGTTTTTAATTTTTTTGAACATCTTGTAATGAATTTTTGGAAAATATTATTTTATAATTCGATAAATAATTATTATTTCAATTACTAGAAACTGATAATTAGCTAGTACTCCACCGTTTAAGGTTATCAGCGCTTCCAGCTCCACTTTAAAGCTCTGGTTAATTAACTAGAAAAATCGGTTTTATATCTGAAAATGAACCCGAAAATATGTGTTAAACCCTAGTTTAAACCACCAATACAGAATGAATTCGAGAATTGCAGAGGAATAATGATTCTCTATTTCAATAAATCTTCATAGGGGTTTTTTAATTTGAGAAGATAAATTAATTGGTTAAATAATCTAACAATTTATCAAATAAAAAAAGTACATATAATGTGTAATATTTTAAATTTATATTTGTTTATTTTTTCCAAAATTCATAAAAAATTTATTAATAAAATGGATTAAATAATAAAAAGTATTTTTACGAAACGTGGATTGTAAGCACAAAGGTTGTTTTCGAGAATATTGTTAAAATAGTAATATAAATAAAGATTTGATGTATTATTATGCGTATTATTTGCCTTAAATATTAAAAATCCAAATTTTTATTTTATTTAATTCAGGGATACCCTACAAACTTAGTTTCTCCTGTAGAAATAGTTTAGCAAAAGTTTAGCCATCGGGCAGGATTCGCTCACCACAACAGGAGCTCTACCGCTGAGCTACTGGGGTATCAACTAATGCTTTCTCTTTTATCCTAACCCCCGCCTTTTTACCCCCCTCCCCCCCAACAATTAAAATTAATTTATTATAATAGCAGGCCCCAACTCTGAGTAAAACGCTTTCATTTGATAATATCACTATCAAAGGCACAGCATAGATAAAAATATATGAATTAAAAATATATGTATAATCTACATAAATTATTTAATTTTCATTTTAAATTTAGATAAAGAATACCTCCTCTTGAAAAATGAATAATATTTCTACAATAATTATTTGGGCTACTATTTATCTTATTTTTATTTTGTTGGCTTTAGATTATGCCCTTCCAGGACCATATCCACCACAGCATAATTTTTTTATGAACTTGGTTGATGATTAAAGATGAAAAGAAAAAAATTTTAAAAATAGATCATCATTAAAAAATAAATTATAAACAATAAATTCGGAATAAAAATATTTTCGGTAATAGTTTTGATTATTAGCAGGCCCCAACTCTGATTAAAACGCTTTTATTTCAGAGGTATTCAGAGTTTTTTGCTCGATCGATAATTTATTATTTTTATGCGGATATCAATTTTCAAAAATTTCATTGTCATAATTAAGAATAATTATTTACGCCCATTTTAATGCCCCATAAAAGGCGAGCGAGAACCGACCAAATAAGTTTATTCAATCTCAGATTTCACCGACCCAAAAGTTGGCCGGTTCTCCCTCCCTTTTATTTTAATAAATTTGTTGAGTAAACCCTTAAAAAGAAAGCTTTCTATTTAATTGGTGGTTCGGCGCGCCCCAAGAGTGGGTTGCCACTCTTGGGGCCCAACGTCGACTAGTTCTTGTTTAAAGAACTAGGATATATAATATTCATAATTTAAAAGTCCGTCAAATCTTTTAGAAGTGCTCTTAAATTTCAATTTTAAAGACTAAATTATCGTTTTTACTCAAAATATTGACTTCGAATTTTGGGATTTACAATTAGTGTATATTTTAATATGTATATTTTATATTAAATTTATAGTTAATTTATAGCAAAGAGATAAGTTTGGTTTAATGGAGTTTACAATATTCTAGCAACGCTCTTAACATCACTAAATGTTCTTCACAAGCTCTCCGGGCAGAACCACTTCAAAAACAAACTTCTCGGACACAGGGTTTATAAGTCCTAAATCTGTTTGATTCAGCCCGTGTGAATAATCTACCTCTGAAAAAAATCGCCCAAGCACAAAAATAGAAAATATTTTTTATGTAGAAAATTTAAAAAATTAAAAGTCTACATAGAGATGTTTAAATAAAGGTCAATTATCGGTTTATCTCTTTTAAGTAATAAACTTCCGATTTTATGTAAATTTATTTCATAATATGATGAAATAATAATTGTAAATACACGTGAAATGAAAATTATTTTAAAAGTCTTGTAAATGCACTTTAATTAATTAATTCGTTGAAAACATTAAGGAAATGCTAGGTTATTTTCAAATGTCTATTAAAATTAAAGGGCAATCACCAGACTTCCTCTATAAAATTTAGAAATATTCAAAGTGCAAGCATTCCCCCCAAAATATTTTTTATTTAAGCACGGAATTAATTGAGGAAAAAATCAAAAATAAATTCAAAATCCAAACAACTAAAAAAGCCCCCAAAAATGATATTTACTCAACGCAACTTTACTCGATTAATGTTTATGATGATGGCAAAAGTGTGGGGAGTAAATGGAGGTGGAGGTGCAACTGCCCCGATTTCCGCGTTCTCTTCAGCCTTTGTGCCACCGATGCATAATAATATGCCTCTGAAAAAACCGCCAACGAATCTCCACGTTCAAGCGCTTAATTCAGGGAAATCTTTTCCGGCTGCTCAATCAAAACATTCGTTTGATAATCCTAAATTTGCAATGAAGCATAAGAATGCTCTTGTATCGAATTTAGGGGAAACGATTGGAGAAGAAAAAAATAAAGAAGTTGTTGCCAATCAAGAAAATGATATTCGTCTACTTAATGGCGCCGAAACGTTGCCGATAGCATCGCGTCGCCTTCTGTTAGAACCGAACCGATTAAAGGCTTTTGAGTTAAGCAAAGAACCGTTGAAGACTTTTGATCATGCAAACGCAGAAATGATCATTAGACATGCTGTTCCGGAAGGTATTTTTACTCATTAATACAGGGTGATAATGAGATTATAATGAGATTAAATAAGGTTTATATGTATGATAGAGAAATAAGTAGCAAATATTATCAAGAATTCTACTAGAAGTACCAAACTCTTGCTTGGATTTTTATAATAATTTTTTAAAATATTTAATTATACATGACAAAGTGATAAACTCTTTAATTCTAAAATGAATTTTTTATTCAACTTCATTTTTTAAGTCTAATCCATCTGGTCTCTAATCCATCTAATCCAATTAACATTTTATAGAGTGGGGGTTTCAATAAGTATAATCTTTGTTTTATGGGAAAAGATAAATTGCAGATTTCGGAAATTGAGCGACTAGAACTTACAGTTTTCTTAAATTAACTAAATTTTAATTAATTAAACAAAGATGCCACCCAAATGCGTCAATTGGCAATTTCTTTAATAAATTCTGAAAATGTTAAACCAGAAATTGAAGTTGGGCAAATTGAAAAAGATTTACAAGAAGGTTTTGTGCATGCTTTAGTTATTGAAATTAAGGAAGAAAAAAAGATAATTGGTTATCTTTCATATACAATTTCTTCCTCATTAAATGGAGGGAAGGTTTAAAATGAATTGAAAAAAATATTTTAAAATTAATTTATAGGTTGTCTATTTGGGTGATTTAATTTGTGAAATTAAATATAAAGAACTTCCAGTAAGATTGTATGCAGAACTTGCTAAGGTTTATAATAATAGGGTTGTTGTTGACCGGGTTTAAAGCCGAAACTCGAAAATTTTCTAAAATGAGAGATTTTTTAGAAGAATTCCCCAAAATAAAACTGATATCTAACTAAAACACAAAACAGAAAACCGGGTTTTTAAACTTTAAATTAACTGAGATATTACTTTGAATTAACCGGTATCGGTTTAAAATTGGTCGCCATAAACCCTGATTTATAAATAAAAAAATATTATATAAAAATATTAAAGTTGTCTGCTAAAAGTGAAGAAATAAAGGAAATTCAAGCTATAGCCAACAGCAAATCTGTTGGGTATTTTCTTTTTCCAGGAATGGATATTGTGCCAAAAGAAACTTTTTGGCAATTACATTTAAATGATAATGAAGTAGAAAAAATATTAAAAAATGGAGTGAATGTACTTTGCGGGACTTTGGTTGGGGGGTTTTGAATTAATTTAAAAATTATTTAATAGAAATCAACAATTTATTTGCCTGGTAAATTGAGTGGAGATGAAGCAATTTATCTTATTAAACAATGGAAGGAAATGAACGGAGAAGGTAACTTATAATAAGGGAGAGGACTCCGAGCAGGCATTGATCCTGCAAACTCCTTGCAGTTAGGACTAGGAGCTTTCCCTCCTGCCTTTAGAGCCCGGCTCGATACAATATTTTTTCGATAGTTGGTTTTGATATTTATCGGAGAATAACGACCGACCCCTTCGGCGGGCTCTACTCACCATGTATAAGTGCTTAATAGTCTTAAATCCTCGCACAGTGAGCGTTTAAATTTAAGCAAGCTTGATCTTCCTTTTCCATTACAATTAGATAAGTAACTAAGTAAAAACATGTAACGGATGTTAAAAATTTTATTGGTTGAGTAAAAACGTGACGATCACCACAAAGCTTTAAAGCTAATTTTTAAAAATAAAAAATATTCAAGATGAATCAACGACAAATTTAACGAATTTACTAAGAACTGGTCAATTAGGAGCAGTAACTGTCCATTTAGATGCTCGCCCCTCAGTTGTTAGCATGCTTTTCTTTCATGGAAATTATTATTCTTTGTGGGATGGACAAGTAATTAATTTTTAAAATTAAAAAAAATAATTTTAATTTTAAAGAGTATTTGGGTAGATAAAATGTCTTTTTCCCCCTTACATTTTGATTGCCATATTCCAAATGCAATTTCTGCAATGTTTGGAAAATTGGTTGAGGTAAATCGAGAAAATAGTTCGAAATAAAAAAATTAATTTTAAGCTTTCAAACGCAATAGGAGCAAAAAGAATTGGTTGGATTTTTAATGAAGAAACAAAAAAGAATTTTTATGAAATTATGGAAAATGTAAAATAATAATTTTTATTAGAGTTGAGCGGTATCGATATTCCGAGAAAAAATCGGTATCGGATTTTGGAATGATGATACCGATCACGATACCGGCTCGGTATTGATAACGGTCGGTATTGGGATCTGCCTTTCGGCATCGTTATCAGAAAAATCGGTATCGGGATTTAAAAAACCGGTAACCGATACCGGTCTGGATTCCGATACCACTCAACCCTAATTTTTATAAAATTAAAAAAATTTTTTTTAAAAAAAGATTGGAGCTATAAATATGACAAAACAAGAGGATTGGCATATTTATCGAAGCAACAAATCAGAATTTTCTGAATATTTGACAACTACTGGAGATAATTATATGAAATTAGATGAGACACACAAACAACGAGCAAATGAATTGTTAAAGAAACAGAAGGCTCGAGAAATGAAAAAAATTCAAGAAGAATGAAAGAAAGGAAAAAAGTTTTCTAAATTTAAAAAAACAAAAGTGCGCGCATGTTTTGATTGGCAATTTTCAAAATTTTTTGGCGCACCTCTTTGATACTTTCTCTATTTTTAGTCAATTTTTCTTTGGATATCTGTATCCGAAACGAAATTTACAGGATATCCGGACATTTTTTTATCCGGATATTTGGATCCACAAACCTATTCTTTAATAGTTTTTCCAAACAACTTTTAAGCATATTGCATTTTTCCATTTTTATTATAGTAATATTTTTAATAATGTTAAAATAAATAAATTTTTTTAAAAGTATTTCTTCAATATATTCCAAATAAATTAATGCATGGTGGAAATAAAATTGTGAAATATTAAGCTAATTTTCCCGACGACCCCACCTACATATTCATAACCAATATAATCCAGAGATAAGCTAAAGAAAGGATCAGTAATATAATAATAATAATTTCAATGTAAACGCACGAAATTATTATATTTGGTAAACAGACTGACACCATTAATCTATTAGTATTCCTTTCATATTCCATTATTCTGGGCAAACTTTTTTAATAATTATTTTAGAGGATCGAAAAATATTTCTAAACAGATTTGTATTAAAATTTGACACCCTTTAAAAATGTCAAATTAATGATTAATCAGCTTAAATTATTTGCTCTGATACTCAAAATCCTTAAATATCTGAGCAGCTTTGAAAAAGCTTTAATTGTAAAATTAACCTTAAGAATTTAAATTTTATAAATTGAAAAATTATTTGGCCATTTAAACTTCTTTTCTTATTTATTAAATTGTTTAAATTTTAGAATACAAAAAATATTTCTGAGAAAATGTTGTTTGTTTCAGATATAACAAATAATTTCGTGCGTTTTTATTAAATTTTGACTGAGAAAATTATTGAAATTTACTTTAAAAAATTTTAATAAAAATATTTCAATAATTTTCTCAGTCAAAATTCAGTAATAAAAACGCACGAAATTACTTGGCAAATACATAGTCTAGAAATATTTCTCAGAAATATTTTTTGTATCCAAAAATTATTAGTGCGTCAATTAAATACTTCATCCAATTCTCTATTTAACGAGTAAAAATTTTTAACATTTTATTTAAAAAATAATTTTAAAAAATAATTAAAAAATGTCAGTTGATTTACTTGATATTTTATTTAACTTTGATTATTTTGTTTGTTTATTAATCGGGTTTCCTTTAAATATTATTTTGATTGTTTTAATTATTTTTAAAACGCCAAAAGAAATGAAAATCCACAGTCTAATTTTGATACAAAATTGTGTTTTGGATATTTTAATGTTGACTGTTCAATTGTTTGTTCAATTGGTATAAACATAAAATCATTTAACTACTTATAATAATAAACTTAATTATTTAAAGTTTTATATAGTCGATACAGAAGGGAATACAACAGTGATTTTTCCTAGTGGATTTTTGATTAGTTTTGTGAAAGATTTCAATCCAATTCTGTGTAATATTTTTTTCAAAATTTGGCAATTTATTTGGAGCTTAAATTTAAATGGATTGTGTGTTCAATTTATTTATAGATATTTGGTTTTGAATAGGTAGAATATATAAATACCGTATTTACTGTATTAGAGCCCCATGGGGCTCTATTTTTCAACTATCCCGAAAAAGGGGGCTATATTAAAGAGGGGGGCTCTAATATATCATCTGATACGGAAACCTGCAAAAATTCAAGAATTTCTGTCTCGGATAAACTAAATGATATTCTAAGGGCTTATCGTGCTGAGTCAAATTATATCAAAACCATTGAACTGTTAGGTTTTAGAACACGTAAAATAAGCCTATTCTTATCGTTTTTCTACTTGAAATGCCAGCCTAAATCAGTTTCCTATACTATAGTGAATAATGTCAAAATCTAAAATATAACAATTTTTATTAGGAACATAAAAATTAATTTTCGTCGCTATCTATTTTTGTTCTCAATGGCCTTTTTTGTAACATTATTTTACGTTTTGGATTTTTCTTTCTTTGTTTCCCCGTATTCTAATGGGGGTATTAAATATTTTGATAATCTTAATAGAACATGGCCGTTTATTCAATATAAAATGGGAACGGTAATTTTTAATCGAATTTAACTTAAAATAAAAATTTATGTAGAAGTCTGTTCTATCAAAATTACCCTTAGCATTAGTGGAAATAATTTCATATTTAATAATATTTGTTTGTGGATTCAAAATGGTCAGATATGTCAAATTAAATTCTAATTTGGATGGAGATTTAAAAAGATTGAATAAATTGTTAACAAAAGTTTTGATAATTTTGGTAAGATGGCTTAATATTTTGGTGTAGCTCCCTCCCCCCCCCCCCATTTTCCCTATTTCATTTATTCCCCTCTCTATATACATATATCAAATTATAAAGCATTTGAAAGAGCTCTATTAGCTGAGTCGAATGACACTAAACTCAACGAAATCTGACTTAAATGAACAAAGTTATGATCAATAAACTCTTGCATCAGCACACAAATAGCTTTCTTAACGAGGATATATCTTCATTATTTTTAAGAATTATCACATCTAACCGTTTATGATATCATTCAACCCAGTTCAAAGAGTTAAAGCAAAAAAATCAAATGAAAAAAGGGGGGTCTAAACCAAAGTATTATCAGAAGAGTTTTAACTAGAGTTGATCAAGACGAGACCGATACCGAGATCGATACCGAGATTCTCGGCTTTTTTCCAATATCGGTCTCGGTTTTTTCATTCTCGGTCTCGAAACCGATACCGATATTCTCGGCCCATTTGACGGCGAGAAACGATACTGACTCAAAGAAACAAAATTTTCAATATTGTCCAAGTTTTCGTCCATAATTTTTTTCGGATATCCGTCCATAACAGAGAAAGTGAATTTTTTTCGAAAAAAAAAAGAATTCTGGCTTCTTGGCCTGTCTTCTAAAATTCAAAAAATTTTCGCCTGCGGCGCTGAAAAAGGAAGAAATTTGGCGAATTGGCCTTCCAAAATTTAATAAATTTTCGTCTGCGGCGCTGAAAATAGGAAGAATTCTGGGTTCTTGGCCTTTCAAAACTACAAATTTTCGCCTGCTGCGCTAAAAATTGGAAGAAATCTGTTGACTTGCACTTCTAAATTTCTCAAAATTTTTGACTGCGGCGCTGAAGTCAATCGTTTGGTTAACCGAAATTTTCACTTCGGCCATCCGCGGATACCAGCGGATGGATATGCCTCAAAAGTTATATCAGATACGGATGATATACGGATACGGACACAAAAATTTGTATCCATTGCCAAGCCATATCGGATCCAGATGATGATGAGTATTTACCTGATGATTTGGATGATGATTTTGACATAAAATAAAAAATTTTGTTAGTCTCGGTCAGTATCGTTTCTCGGTATCGGTCTCGGCTCAAAATAATGATATCGGTCTCTTGAGTATCGGCCAATCTCGGTCTCGGGTTGTCCGATACCAGTATCGTTTTGATCAACTCTAGTTTTAACATTTATCTTCTCAGTAATCAAGAAACTATAATTTAATTTTTTAATTTTTAAAATTATTTTTTTTGTAAAACTGTAAGAAAAAGAGAACTTTTTCGATAAAAATTATGTTTATTATTAAAAAATCGTTTTAAATTTTTTAAATTAAATTTTTAGGCTATTGTGCCATTTATTAATCACGCTGTAGCTTTATATTGTTTATCTTATTCAACAACAACCGACTACACAACAAATATTATTCGAATATTAATTTCAATTTTTTTTCATTTTTTACCTGTATTTAACCCAATTATTTGTATTTTAACAAACACGCCTTATCGAAATGCTATTTTTAATCGTTCACAAATAAGTCCACAATAATTGATGAATTTCTGCTTTAACATAAAATTTTTTGGGATTTTTTTAATCATGTGAGATCTGTATAATAACAAAAAGCCCACTAACTGAAGGAATATTCAACTAGATTTTACGGAATTTTGAAAGAATTCTGGGATCCTTACAGAGCAAATTCATTAATATTCATTAATAAGACAAATTCATTAATATTCCATCTTTTATAGGGATAACATCATAAGATGTCTATTATTCTATTATTACATGTCTATATTACCGTAAATCTTCTAATAGAAACACGTGTGCTTATAATATTTTCCGATCCTCTCGTGGGATGTTTGATTTTTTGCTTCTGTCTATTAGAAGATCTACGATATGTTTATTTTAGATTAACACTTTCTTTTACAGTTTGTAATTTATTTTTGGGGATATTTACATTTATCGCTAAACTATTTGTAGGAAATTTCATAATTACAAAAGAGATAGAAATTAATATCACTTTAGATTCTTTACATTCTTAATTTTTTTTAATTTTCTGTTTCGTATTTAAATTTTTTTTGGTTTTTTGATTTTAGATATTTTTTTGTTTTTTTTTACATTTTTTTGGATTTTCTGTAATTTTTATATTTACAGTTTTATGCATATTTCATCATTTTTTTGTTCATGTAATAATTATTTCTTTGTTTTTATTTTTATCAGCTTCCATTAGAACGTTCTTCTCTTCGTTTAAAGCTTTCTCCACTTCTTCAAGTAAAACATTTTGAGGTGATTTGGTTTCCCATTTATCATGTAAATAAGTAAACGCTTTGAAAACTTTTTCCTGATATCTTAAATAAATGAAGTATTTTAATATAGACGCACATGGATATAAATAATATCTGGATACTGGGATCCAAATCCTCGGATATCCAACAGTAATTTTTGGGATTAGCAAAAATTTAATTTGCAAGTTTTGTTTAATGTTTCTAAGTATAACATTGCTTATTGTGGGAATAGGAAAATGAAGTATTTCCTCTAATTGAAGGGAGGTGATTGAAAAAATAATGCCAGGGCATTGTTAGAGGAAATACGGTAATTTTAGTCCAAAAAAGTTTTTCTGGTCAGAATATTTTTTATTGTAATGAGGCATATAGGTTTTTCGATAAATAAAGTATAGCCTGAAAGTAATTCTATTGCTTATGTTTGTCAGAAGCATTTATATTTTCCAGCAAAAATCAAAAATCCCCTTACTTTTCTGTGTTTAACATATCCATTAACACCTTTACAAGTGTCTCTTTTTCAAAAGTTCCATCAATCATCTCTATATTTGCAACAATTTCATTATATTTGAGGTTAAATGAATCCTCCCCATCCACCGCTCTTTTGCATCTCAATCCAAAACAGCCGAAACGTTTAGGTACCTCCTTATCCGAATCGTAGCCCTCCTCCTCTATTTCTCCTCTTCCAGAAGTCGTAGCTGTATCTAAGGGTTTCTCTATCGGCCCTTTTCTGGATTGAGAAGGGCTATGTTTAGATCCCGAAGTTTGACCGAAATTTACTTTTTTGTGCTCCCCAGCTCCCTTTTTGTCAGTTTTCATACTACTTTTTGTTGGTGGTTTAGCAAGATTGAATGTACTTTTGAACCCTGTATCTGCATTAATTACTTGTTTTCCCTTTTCCTCATTCAATAATTTGGCTTTTGCATTTTTGATTAGATCAGTTAAATCGGGTAAACATATTACTTGAGTATTAAAAGCAAAAGCTTCAATCATTCGAGAGAAACCGCAATTGGTAATTATTACTTTTGTCTCACCTTTTACTAGAAAATATTTTTTTAATTAAATTTTTATGAAGAAATGAAATTTTTTGACATCCTGAAAAGGATGTTTTGCTGAAAGCGACATCATCGAAGGCTGATAACTGTCAAGCCTAATAATTACTCTATTTGTCATGTTACTAGCAATTTTCGATAAACTACCCCAATGTAAAAGCTATAGGCTTGCTACGAAGAGGATTTTGGCACAAACTAATCGTGATTTGAGTGCAATAAGCTTCTGAATCTAAGATTCTGAATTCAAAATAAAACAAAATCTGTAATTAGAATTTTTGTTTCATCTCCCCTACTTACTCAATTCATCTTGCATTATTGGTATATGAGCAAATTTAAAATTGCCCAAATTATCTTCTTTATCCTTTAAATGACAATTGTATATGAAATTAACTTTATTGTTCCCCTCTAATTTATTCATTACATCCTCAATGACGTCAATAAATAAATTAACAATATCATCAAGTAGAGTTAATATCTCCTCGCAATAGTCAAGGTTTATAATAACTATATTTGATTTCCCATTTGATTTCACATAAGAATCATTCTTAAAAATAAAATTATTAAATGTTTTATTTGTTTAAAAAAGAACATTTAAAAGTAGGATTGCCAAAATGGACCGATTTGGCCAGAAAATGACTCGTACGGCTCAACGCGATAAAAATGAGGCCCGAAATTGTCTCGTGGCCGGTCAGATAAAAACAAACTGAAAAACTTCCGAAAAAATTCTTTGAACTTAGGCACAACTCGACTTCTCGAACTTAGGCCGAAAACGGAACCGACACCCAGGTGAAATACGATTTAGAACAGTCAAGTCATCGACTGAAATAATTTTTGTTTTTGCATTCTAAAATAATTTGTAAAAATAATTATATATATTTACCACTTTATTTCGCAGTTCATTTACGTCATTCAAATGAAATCCACAAACATAATGCAAATTAACAGATTTTTTCTCTTCTATAGGAAAGTTACTTAATAACTCATCGTTATTTACAAATATTCCTTTAATCTTTAAGTAAACATCCTCAACTCTTACCATACTTGTTGCTTCACTTGTTCCTTCACCTTCTTGTTTAAATTCTTTTAAAAAATTCGCGAAAAAGTTATCCTATTGAAATTATTTATATTTTAATAAATTTATAAAAATATTTTATGTTACGTGATTAAAAAGGTCTTTACTTTAAATTAAATATGAGGCGTTATTTTTTAATGAATATTTAAACGGATATGATTAAAAATCATATTTTGTCCTTATCTAATTGATAACACAATTCCCCTAATTTCTTCTTTCAGAAAATTAAAATTTGTACGTGAACCAACAGCATAGTGAAAAAAACTTGAATGAGTTTTACGAGCCTTTTATTGATAAATCCCGATATATGTGCCTATATTATCTGTCGAATTTTTAAATTTTCTTTTTTTTCAGCTGGTCAGCTAAGGAAAGGAGCATATTATTAAAATGCTTTTGTTCCTAAAATTATTTTAACAAATCACCATTATGTTATGAACAGATGTGTATATGCTTGCTATATTTTGAGAATCATCAATTTCAATTTCCTTCATTTTTTGATTTGTATTAGCGGACTCATCTAAAATTTATTATTTAGGAAATAATCTTTTACTAGTTCAAAAATTACAAATTCTAGAAATTTTCATGATCTTAAAATACTTTTGTAGTTGGCATTAAGGTTGACGATTCTGGGTATCCGGAACCGAAAAAACCTCGGATATCCGGAAATCTTCGGATACAGGTTCCGGTTCCGGATATCTGGAAATTTCCCAGGAACCGCTATCCTTAGTTGGCATTGTAAACATTCTTTTATAAAACGAAGATGTAATAAAATTAGATGGAAAGATCAGATAGGAGATTGGGCAATCCAGGAGAATTGGGGAGAAAAAGGTTTTTTCTAGGGTAAAAAAATATGCTGATTACGAATCTGAACTCAGATTTTTAAAAAGTCGAATCCCGAACCCGAAATTCGAACATTTGACATTCTGGGGAAAATTTCGAATAATAAACATAGCGCAAATTGGTCAAATAATATCTCATTCGAAAGAGCTCGACGAGCTGAGTCGAATGACGCTAGAATCACCGTGATTGAACAAGATCGGACGAAGTTATGACACAAAAAACATAGGCTTACGTTGTTTGTTTTTTGTGGTATAACTTCGTCCGAACTAGTTCAAACACGATGATTTTGGTGTCATTCGACTCAGCTTTTCAAGCTCTTTCGAATGAGGTATAATTTGCATATTCGAATTTTTCACCCCAAAATCAGCTTGGTCCCCCCTATGGTTTTTCGATATTCGAGGACCTATATTCGGGTTCGGGATTCGAATTTTCAAAATCTGAGTTCAGATTCGTAATCAGCGTACTTTTTTACCCTAGAAAAATCCTTTTTCTTATTTTTAAGATTTTTTCCCGCAGGGACCCCAATTCTCCTGGATTGCCGGAGATTGATCTTAATATTATTTTTTAACTTCATAAACTTCAAACCTTGGTTGATTTTTGGATTTAAATTTTTATCAAATAAATATCCATATTGTAAATTTTGAGTATAATTAATGCCAAAAACATTTTTGATTGCTGCAAGATGGAAAAGATAGAGAGCACCAATGTCAACCGTATCAAAAAATGCCAAATCGTACTTTCGGTTTATCAGACGATTAATGAATTGATTTTTTTTTGAGAATATATCTTAATAAGGAATTTTAATTAAATCATTTATTTTCAGTCGGGAAAACTGAAATTTCTATGTATACGTTATCCGAGTTTCTAATTCCGGCTGGTTAACTAGTCTTTATTTTAAACTGCATGCTTCGGGATTTTCTAATTAATTCTACTGGATATGTTCAATAAAAGTCTATGAACGGACGGGATATTTAGCTGTATTTTACGAATTCTGGAGGATTTTGGGACTGTTTCAAAATTCTTAGTTTTCACCGAAAAGTTTTCACCAAAAAACGAGATTACTATAATTTCTAAATTAATCCCAAGTAATGCCGTACTATAATTTCTATAACCAATTTTGAAAACTATAAAGACGAAAAATGAGACAATTGCTAAATGATTTTGATAAATGCCTATATTATCCCAAAAAATTTTTTATTTTACCTCTAAACGCCTTGTAAGATAGATTGTGATAAATTCTACCTTCCTCATTTTCTATTTTAATATTATCACTTTTATCTAGATTAACAATTTCATATGTATTTCTAGATTCCTTTCTAAATGAAAATCCAAATTTTGTCCTATCAACTCCAATATTGAAATAATCCCACATTTCACTCTTATCAGTTCTAACGATTACAAAATGCTGAATAAATTAGTTATTGTGTTAGAAATTATAACATCCCCGTACCCCGTACCCCGCCCCGACAAACCCCGATCCCCTATACACCCGCCCCCAAGGGTTGGGTTGCTACCCTAGTTAGAATAACCTTCTATCTAATCACCCACCACATAATAATTTTTCGCCAACAGATCGGCACATCTACTAGCCATTTCAAAATGATAGGGAATAAAATTTGGGGCAATAAACAAAACATGCTTCTTTTCATTTCCCACTATTTTATTGCCTTTACTCGACGAGGGTTCTCCTAACATCCCATTTAATGTTGGTAGAAATATAGCAATAAAAATAATAATCAAATTAATTTTAAAAGAATGAAGAAACATTTTTGTTTCTAAAAAATTATTTTTAGATAACACGTAAGGGCATAACACGTAAGGCAAAATTGTGGGGCCAAAAAATTGTTCTTGTCGGACCAAAATTTAATAAATACCTATATATTTTAATTAATATGTATCTGTTTTGGAGCAATATGAAATGATTAGATTTCCACAGGGTGAAGCTAAATCCGTAACTTTTCTGTAAACGAAACTTCCTAACAGACAATATGATAAGATTAGAATAAAGCGGCTAGACACCGAATAATATCAAACGAATTGATAGGATTGATCCTGAGAAATGCTAACCAGAATTTTAAAAGTCCTGGAATTATCCAATATTAATGGAAAAATGTTTTTTCACCTCACAATAAATGGAATTTGCTAAGAAAATTTAAAAAATAATTTAATATTGAAAATATAATTTTTTTATAATTAAAAAATTATAAAGAAAGCCGCCCTTTTTTATCGGCATTAAAAAATAAAAATAAATTTCTCAATAAATATTGACAACTATTTTCATAATTAAAGGTCAATATTGGGAAAAAAATTATTAAAGTGCAACAAGCATAAATATGCACTTTACTCAAACAAAATTTATTTTTGAATTTTGAAATTAATTATAGTTATGAAAAGGCAAAATAAACATTAGCCTTTTGAAAAAGCTGTCGGGCTGTCACCAGAAGCAGCTTGTCGACGATTCTGAACATAATTATGCCTCGAGCCAAGAATACCAAGTAACACTAATGTAGTCGGTTAGCGCCTGTGAAAAACCCTTGCGCGAATTTTTTAGGAACAAGGATCGCTGTGCTTTTAGGCACACGGCTTGCAAGCAGCGATGTCAAAGTTCCAGTTCCAGTTCCGGAACTAATTAGTTCTAGTTCCAGTTCCGGAACTAGAACTACGGAACTAACGATTATCTGGAACTAGTTTGGAACTAGAACTACGGAACTAGTAAATGTCTGGAACTAGCTTTGGAACTAGTTCTGGAACTAGTTCTTGGGGGTATATTTTTGACGAAATTTCCTCGAAAATTACCTGCAGCGCGCTGAGTATGGAAGAAATCTGGCCGCTTGAGCTCCAAAATTCTAAAAATTTTCACCTAAGGCGCTGAAAAAGTGAATTTTTTATGGCCTACGACCTTAGAAATTCTCAAAATTTTTGCCTGCGGCGCTGAAAAAGTGAATTTTTTGCCCTACGACCTTAGAAATTCTCAAAATTTTCGCCTGCGGCGCTGAAAAGTGGATTTTTTCGGCCTCTTAATCCTCCAGTTTATCCTCCAATCTCCTTAAATCCTCCGTTATCACTCATAATCCTCTTATAACCAGATATCACCAAAAATATTCCAGATATCCTTTTAAATTCATTAATCCCTTCACATCCTCTGATCTCCCCGTTAAAATTAATAACCCCTAAGTATAGCCTTTATTTTATGATGGAATTCCAAAACTAATTGTATGAAATATGGAAATAAAATGCTTAAATTGTTGTTATAATTAGTCTGTCATATATACAGGCTACTCATAATATGTTGACAAAGCTGATGTTTTCGCCATAAAATTGATTGCTGTAACAAAAATGGATGGAATTGGATATACATAAAATATTAGTTAACTCAAGGCCAATGGATTTATTAGCTGGACAATTTAGTCTATCTTTTGTATTTTATGAAAAAAAATATATTTAGAAATGGGAGGGGGGGGGCAAAATTTCGTTGAAACACATATCTAATAAAAAATGCAAATGTATCCACTAAAAATAAATATTTAGTTCAATATTTAATTCAATCGAAAAATCACTATCGTATACTAAAATTTAATTCTTCAAGTGCAGTTTCGTTACGGCGGTGTTGTAACAAAGTGAATCCATTTGAAATTGCTATATCTGGCTATATTTTTAATTGTTTCAAAATTAAATAGTAAAAAATATTAAGCCCCAAAATTTGAATTTCATTATCCAATTTTCCAACAGTATCATTTGTCTTTCCACATGAACAAATGATTTTTCTATTAGATCACTTGAAGGCGAATCCCATGCTTTGCAAATACATTCCAGATAGGTTTCAATTTGTTATAAAAGAGATTCTTTGACTCAAGCAAAGAACCGGGTAACTCTACTCTCTTTTTAGAATACGACCTCGGCACTTTGAAAAAAATAAAAAATTAGATGGTCTTATAATTTCTTAATAAACTTTATATGTAGTAACGCCGACAAGCAAAAGTGCATTTTCTAACATAGCTTACAAGCGTCCCAAAAATAATTATGCGTCCTATGAATATTCTTCCCTCCCAAAAAATAATATATTCTTAGGACGCATAGATCTTTATGGGACGCGCATAGATCTTTATGGGGATCTTTATGGGATTACTTAAAAAATATTATTCTCTTAAAAACATTAAAGAAATTTTAAAATATTCCGCATTACTTTATAT